TTGCTAATACTTCAGAGATGATGAAGCTGTCTTTATTTTGCTTCATTGTGTTAGAAACAGTGATTAATGATGATTCAAGTCATTTACGTCTGCAGAAATTAGGTTCTCTGATAACTAGTCGAGCGTTGAATTTCATGAAGTGATTGGTAGAATTCCAGTCTTGTAAGCAGGCATTGTTCAAGTTAGCGTTCTTACATGTGTTCATTGAGGCAAGTTTCGAGGTTCCTTGCTGTTTCACCTACATATATTCTGTCACAGCCTCCACAAAGTATAGTGTAAATTCCTGCATCTACTGGTTCGTGGTGGTTTGATTTTTTCCTGTTTAGATCCCTTATGGAAGTGCTGGATGCGATGACGACTCTAATGTTAGTTTGTGTGAGTATCTTAGAAATGTTAAATGCACCCTGGCTGTTGGGAAGGATTATAAGTTTGTTAGGAGTGTTGTTGGTGTGTGGAGAATTAATGATCTGAAGAGCTCTTTTCTTGCAGTCTTTGATGAAAAAGGAAGGAAAATGTAGATAAGCAAAGGTTTGGTATATGTAATTACATTCCTCATCAAGAAACTCAGGACTACAAATTCAGTGTGCTCTTAGGAAAAATCCGATGATGATGCCTTGTTTGGTCTTTGTATCTTGAATAGAATGGAATTGAGTGAGATCACTTCTACTTATCTTCCTAGACAGTGTGTCACTGCCTTTAAGGACCTCATCAATGACCCAAATATTATTGTTACCACTGCCGACAAAGGAGGTGGAGTTGTCATACTCAACACCAGTGACTACATTGCCAAAAAAATGGACCTTTTGAATGATGTCTATATACGAACCCATCAGCACCTAACAGTGGGAGACACTCACCAAAGATTTCCTATACAAAACCAGACAAATACTCAAATGCACTAGTGAAGGAAAGAAACTTCTGTACCTGATACCCAGCAACCCAAAATCAGCACACATGTATGGTTTACCAAGATCCATAAGCATAACATTCCTCTCAGACCAATCACATCAGGTAGAGACAGTGCACCACACAGACTAGCCGGAGTTCTTGCCAAACCTCTTTCCTGCCTTCTGGGGACCATCAACCCCGCTCATCTTCTCAATCACACCAGAAATCTCTCCATCCGAAACAAGACACTAAGTAGTTTGGACATAACTTCTCTCTTCACTAAAGTACCTACCATATAAGCCATTGACATTCTACGACAAAGTCAATCAGAACCTTAATCTTCCTCTACCTCCCAGAGATTCTGTAGACTTGATTGAACTCTGCATTAATTTCAATTGCTTTTCTTTCAATAATAGGATCTACAAACAAACTTATGGTATGGGAATGGGGTCCCCCATTAGTGCCATCCTTACTAGCTTGTATATGGAGCACCTGGAAGCTGAACACTTTACCAACATCATCCCCACCAGCGTCACTTGGTTACATTATGTAACAAAGTGCGGAATCTTCAGGCAAGGCTCAACACAGTTGAACTGGCTATCCAGTTTACACTTGAAGAAGAGTTCAATAACAAGTTACCTTTTCTAGATGTCCTCATTCACAAAGTAGATAACAATATAATGTTTCAAATTTACCGTAAACCTACAAACGAAAATCTCACACACTTCTATTCCAGTCAAGATATGAAGACCAAAAAAGGCATTATCATCGGATTTTTCTTAAGAGCATACTGAATTTGTAGTCCTGAGTTTCTTGACGAGGAATATACTTACATACACCAAACCTTCATTGATCTACATTTTCCTTCCTTTTTCATCAAAGACTGCAAGAAACGAGCTCTTCAGATCATTAGTTCTCCATGCACTAACACCACTCCTAACACAGTTATAATCCTTCCCAACAGCCAGGTTGCATTGAATATTTCTAAGGTACTCTCACAAACTAACACTAGAGTTGCCATTGCATCCAGCACTTCCATAAGGGATCTAACCAGGACAAAATGAAACCACCACGACTCAGTCGATGCAGGAATTTACACTATACCTTGTGCAGGCTGCGACAGAATATATGTAAGTGAAACAGCAAGGAACCTTGAAATGTGTCTCAATGAACACATTAACACATGTAGGAACCATAACATGAACAACACCTGTGTATAACAACGGAATTCCACCAATCACCTCAAGAAATTAAACAACGCCTGACTAGTGATCATAGAACCTAATTTCTGTAGATGTAAAGGCCTTGAATCATCATTAATCACTGTCGTCACATAGTCGCTGCTGCTAATACTACACAAGAACATATCAGAGGAGGAACACTGAAATAGGCCTTCTCAAATCCAACCACTAACAGAAATATTTATCTAGCCTATTTGTATACTACCCAAGTAATAGCGGTCATAACCTTTTACTCATGTGTAAATTTATCATTCTACCACATGTATTACTACTAATACTATAGTCTACAACTAATATTACTACTGCTACTACCACTAGTATTACATTTCCCTCAAAGCATGCATGCATATATATATATATATATATATATATATATATATATATATATATATATATATATATATATATATATATATATACACACACACACACACGTGTGTGTCCATGTATTGTTTGTAACAGCTTGATAAAGCTCCTGGAGTGCAAAATGTTGCCACAATAAAATGTCACATTAGTTGCACTTGTGTTTTTTGTGATGGCTCTTAAGAGTTTCAAACAAACATTTATCATGGCAGTGCCACAAGATTATTTCTTCACTTTTCATTTACTTTCTGCACTGCTATATCATTCACTAATACATTCAACATTTGTGTAAATAAAGCTAAGAACACAAGCAGACTGGGTCTTAAAACTGCCCTGGACATCAGACACCTATCAGGTGGGTTCGACTGCTGCCAGTGCCACACTAACAGACTGCTGATTAATGAGGGCCAGAGGCCCATCCCATTTTCATTTCAGTCTTTGTGCAGAAGCTATGACTTTCAGTTTTTCATGATACACCCTCTCCTCACTTAGCGACGTACTCGTTTACCAACGACTAGGACATACAACAGGCTCTCTGACCAGTATGCATACCTAAATAATATATATTAGAGCTGATTTCCTCTATTCTATTTATTACAGTATACAGTACACTACTGTATATACATTTAAAAATATACTAAAAATGTTATAAATAGTACAAAGGTGGCATTAAAACAATATCAAAAATAGCTGACACAAACCCACTACCATTATGGTATGCTCCTTGCTTAGCAATGAATTCATTTACCAATGTGGTCTTAGGAATGGAACTCCGTTGTTAAGTGAGGAGAGGCCAACAGACCCCTGGCAGTCTTCAAGCTGGCACTGGACAAGCACCTAAAGTCGGTACCTGACTAGCTGGGCTGTGGCTCGTACGTTGGTTTGCGTGCAGCCAGCAGTAACAGCCTGGTTGATCAGGCTCTGATCCACCAGGAGGCCTGGTCACAGACCGGGCAACGGGGGCGTTGACTCCCGGAACTCTCTCCAGGTAAACTCCAGGTACCCAGCCCGGCAGCCCACTGGGCATTGCCCTAATGCTTGTATGGCTGGTCTGCCTCTGCCTAGGGTAAGTGAATGACTGTTAATGGCATAGCAATGTGCAGTTACAGTGCTTTTGTATGGATTTTTACCTATTTCCCCCTATAATTGTACCATACTAGATGAATTTCACATCATGTTCTTAAAAAAAGTGACACAATTTTGTAACAGTGTATTATCAAAGCATGTCAGAGGACTGTGTGTTAGTCGCCAGTCTACTGTATAAATTCCTAAATATGAAAAGAAGAAAAACTGCACTTGTTTTTTGGGTCACCCTGCCTTAGTGGGACATGACCACTGTGTTAAATAAGTAAATAGAAATAAAAAAGATACGGTGGAACCTCAACTTATGAGTAATCCATTCTGTGACCTAACTCATAAGTCAATTTGCTTGTATATCAAATAAAGTTTCCTCATTTAAAATTGAAATGCCATTAATCCATTCCAGCAGAATTCCTACTCTTGGGAGGCAAGACAAAATACTTCAATATGACACTAATATCAACTCTATGGCTTATTTATCTATCACAATTCATCTAATATGACATAATAAACAATATAATTAACACAGAAACATGATATATATACTCTAGAATGAATAAAACAGGCCATAATATGGTGAGTGGTGGCGGCGGCGGCTATTCCCTCTCCCGCTCTGACTAGAGTATCTTCCCATGCTTTTATTATAAGAGAAAACAGTGTGTTTGTGAAGCTAACTGCACTAGATCACTGGTTTCATGAGGAAAACACTGAAATAATGTATTTATAAATAAGAAATATTGCATAAAAACATAATAGAATATAAAGAAATAAACTGGTTTTATTAAGTGTATGTAAATTACATATTTACCTGGCAGAAGAGATGGAGAGTAGAGGGTGGGTGGAAGATAGGCAGACCGGCATCCCTCGACCCACAACCTGCACAGCTACACCTCGCTTGTTTATCTATGATTTCATGCTTTAATTCCATGGAAATCATCCTCTTTTTCTTCTTAGGACCCATGGTTAGAAAAAAGAAATTTGGCCAAATGACTTGGAAAAAATGTAAACAAAGCACGAGAGAAATACTTCCACAGCGAGGTAAACAGTGCGCTACGCCAACTAATAGTGGTGTTCTGAAGCTCCTCTTATTATTATTATTTTTATTATTAATTTAGGAAACTGGAGCACAGATCCAATTCCCAAGACCAAGAGCCCCTCACTAGCATCAAGGTTTCTTGATGCTGGTGAAAGCCTCTTGATCTTGGGAATTGGATCTGTGCTCCAGTTCCTTAAATTAATAATAAAAATAATAATAATAATAATAATAATAATAATGAGAAGCTTCAGAGCATGACCACTAGTTGGTGTAGCGCACTGTTTACCTCGCTGTGGAAGTATTTCTCTCATGCTTTGTTTACATTTTTTCCAAGTCATTTGGCCAAATTTCTTTTTTCTAACCATGGGTCCTAAAGAAAGTAAGTGCAAAGGACAGTGCTAAGAAAAAGAGGATGATTTCCATGGAATTAAAGTATGAAATCATAGATAAACAAGTGAGGTGTGCAGGTTGTGGGTTGGGGGGGGGGGAGGGGAAGAAGCTCGCTCGTAATTCAGAGCAAAAAATCGACCGAGTGATCGCTCGTATCTCGAAAAACTCGTATGTTAAGACACTCACAAGTCAAGGTTCCACTGTATAAATATAAATAAAAATAATTTACACTTGTGTTATCAGAAAACATATAGACTGTGTTATCTATACTTGTGTTATCAGACAACATATACGTATCTCAGTTATAATATTTTTTACAGTAGGTTCATGATGGTTCTAAACGTTTTTTTAAATTTCATACAAGGCATAGCAATAGAGACCTGTACTTGAAAACTGAACCTGTGGATGTTTTGTAGTAATATCAAAGTTAACATGCCAAGAAGATGATTCTGAAGTTTGAGTAAACGCTTATTATGCAATGTATATAACCTAGGTATAGTTTAAATATCAATAAAACGGTAACTCAACTATTTTCATGTCCAGAATATCTCCCTATTGACTAGATAGTGAGGCATAAAAGCAACATATACCCACTGACCACTTTTAAAACCATTAATTGTGTGGAGGTACTGGGGTATCCCTAGGCTGACCCATGACCACTGGACTGGCAAAACATGAGTTATATTTCAGTGTTTGTCAGTTTTCAACTGAAGTAAAGTTCACTTCTCATGCTTTATAATAAACATAAAAGTTTACATAAAGGAACATTATAAAAGCTCCCTATTCTAACACATACGTCATCACACTGGCTTGGTGCAGTAGACACGTAGCTTGCTGTAAAGTCGGCTTTCTTAATACACGCACAACACTAGATTTTCGACAATGTCAAGCAAGCTAATTGTCTAGACAGTTTTCAAATACACCAACAAACGACTTGACCTATGTGAAATATTATTTTTTTTCAGAAAAAAGTCTTAAATTATTTACATTAACATCGCAGACGTTAAAGCTCATGGTAGAAGTGTCAACAGAGAGTGAGCAGAGGCTGGGGCCTGGCTTCAAGCCACACTCATAAAGTCCCTCACACTGAGGCCATCGCCCTCAAGGCCCTTGCACTGAAGGCCCTCGTACTGAAGGCCCTCGTACTGAAGGCCTTCGCACAGAAGGTCCATGCACAAAGGCCCTCGCATTGAAGGTCCTCAAACTGAAGGCCCTCAAACTGAAGGCCCTCACACAGAAGGCCCTTGCACTGAAGGCCCTTGCACCTGAAGGCCTTCCCACTGAAGGCCTCCACACTTGGGTTTGTAGCAGGAAGAGCCCGAGGCCCTGGTTAGAGGCCACACTAGGGCCCCCTCACACAGGACACCACAGATCACTATAATGACTGTGGCTGGCAACAAACAACCTTCAATAACTACATTATATGAGTGTCCAGCAGGGAGAAGGTGGTGTGTGATACTGCAGGTATGAGGTTTAGTTGTAGAAGAGCACCAGCTGAGAGCAGGGGAGGTATCTACTCCCGTCACCTGCTGCCTCCCATGTTGTTGTTGTTGCTCGTACTGCTGAAGGTGTTCCCCATGCTGCTGTTCATGGTGTTACCCATGGGTGTACTGTTAGCCACACTTGTGTTCACCGGTGGTACACCGAAGAACGGCGTTGTAAAGGAAGTTGGGAAATAGGTGTGGGTGGGTGGGACGTTGGCAGCGGCCATAGAGGGTGCTGCCCCCGCCCCGGCGTACCCCTAGTCATGTCAGATGGGCGTCGGGGGCACTGTGAAATCATGGAGAGCTGAACGCACGCTGTCGTAGAGGGGCCGGGAGTCCTCGCAGTAGTTATCCGTGCAGAGCGAGTGAATTTTGGAGAGATAGGAGTCAAAGTTGTCGTGACCAATACGGTCGTTGTTGGGCGTGGTGCCGCTCCCAGGAAGCTTAACATGTTCCAGGAGTGACATGACGTTGTTCCGCAACGACTCGTAGTACTCGGTCAGCTGTGCTCCCCTCTCACCAGCACCAGCCGCCTCCTGCAGGGAAACAACACATCAATGACATACCAAAGACAAACACAAAAAAATAAAATTCATTGTGAAGTTTACAAAATGCATTTTACTTGTAATAAAATACTGTCAAGCACAAAAGAGGGCTACAAGCATGTAGTGCATTTTGGACAGATTATTCCTACTGTTTACAAATTACCAAGTAAGAAGACTATTGTTGTTGTGACCCCACCATCTACCCCACTACCAGGCAAAGTGAAAGAAACTTCTGAACATCTGCCCACTAATCATAAACAAGTCATCTCAAGCCACTGGCCAGGAATCAGGGCAACAGAGGAAGATCCAGTAACTAAACCAGGACTCACAACAATGCAGGTGACAGTAACATTACTACAAGTACATGCCTCCTCCCAGCCAGAAAGATGCTACCCCTCACCACCTACTGTAGCCCCTACTACAGTACACTCACCAAACAACAACAATATGGGTGCTTCCCCAAACAATGAAGACAACTCCTTCCCTGGATTCCTTAATTTAGAGATACAAGACCCAGAGGTAGCCAAATTCATCAGCATCCAGGGTCAAAAAATTGATATGCTAACCCAGGAAATGCATAAACTAAAAGCCTCCAATGCATACTACCTAGACAGAATCACAACACTGGAACAATAAATAAATACAGAACAACATAGCAACACCCACACGAGACTGATGACACTATCAAATCCTCAGAGAACAAGTTACCCAACTCAACACCAACCTCAAAGAAGAAAGAACACAGGTGGACTTACAAATTGCGAGGATTGAATTCCTGGTACAGCTGGAAAACATTAAGACGTGTTTCTTTAAGACACCTGCTGTCCATGTTCACCCATCAATATAATGGGTACCTGGGTGTTAGTGGACTGGTGTAGGTCGCATTCTGGGACAAAACTGACTAAATTTGCCCGAAATGCTCAACATAACAAGCGGCTTTCTATATAGTAGTATGTCATTGATGTCAGCTAAGCCTGTATACAAAGGTACCTACCGGCTACCTACAATGACTTCCTACAAATAAATACTACTCACCTCTCATCAACATTAAGACTACACATATTTTAAGGTAAATAACGAGTGTACTGTATGTGTATTTTATCTCTCTGGGCTGCTTTAAATATCATATATGTATTAAGTCTGAGATGGGGAGCCAGGGGTACCTACACTCGACTTCCTACAAATAAGTACTACTCACCTCTCGCCCTACATTAATATGACTACAAATATTTTTAGGTAAGTAATGAATGTACTGTGCATGTATTTTACTTTTTATTGTTTTTTAATGCCTAGTTCTATTACTAACTTAATATAAGTTAAGGTAAACTTGTTGTCTAGCATTTATATGCATTTATAAGTGGAAAAAATGAGGTTCTGCTCCCCAACAACAGCTTGGAATCTAACCTGCCATATAAGTGGGGCCCTACTGTACATTAATTCCAACTTGGTCCAATTATCCCCTAATTACAGTTGTTTTTATTACCTCTTATCACTCTTTTGCAATTAATTACAATTTAAATATTTATCAGGTAACCTAAATGCTGAATGCTGACATCGACCCAGATCTAAATTTTTATGATCTAAATCCCAATCACCATTTAACTGAAAGTAACTGTCTTTACTACACAACAACACAAGCCAGTACTGTCCTCATTAACCCTTTCAGGGTCCAGAGGCCCTCTCAGAGACTTGTTCTCAGGGTCCCCCAAATTTAAAAAAAAAAAAAAAAAAAAAAAAAAAAAAATAATTATTTTTTTCTTATGAAAAGATAGAGAATCTTTTCCCGATCATAATGGCACCAAAAGTATGAAATTTGATGGAAAACTTACGGAATTATGCTCTCGTGAAGTTAGCGGTCTCAACGACGTTTACGCATCGGCGATTTTGCCCACTTTGAGCCCTATTTTCGGCCAATTCCAATGTACTAGTCGACAAAAATCATAACTATTTCGCTAGAACTCCATTTTTTCTGTCGAATGAGTACAAGAAACCACCAATTTACCGATTTCAACTATCCAATACAGTGGTCAGAATTAAGCAATTTTGCCAATTTCACACAAATTTCAAAAGATGCCGATTTCCAAATAGGGTCTAGAATAAATAAGAAAAACATTCCTGGCACTAAAATAACATTTCTTCTGTTCATTAGTCACATCCCCACACCCCTCTTACATTCTTTTGCTTTCCACTTTGAATTTTTATTCTCAAAAAAAAAAAAAAAAAAAAAAAAAATAGAAGATTTACTGTTATGCAGACTGCTGCATTAGTGTAGAAATGGTATAAATAATATCAGTGCACTTGTGAAAGAATATCAGACTCACCAGTTGACGTGTATTAGACTTTTTTTTTTTTTTTTTTTTTTTTTTTTCAACAAGTCGGTCGTCTCCCACCGAGGCAGGGTGACCCAAAAAAAGAAAGAAAATCCCCAAAAAGAAAATACTTTCATCATCATTCAACACTTTCACCACACTCACACATTATCACTGCTTTTGCAGAGGTGCTCAGAATACAACAGTTTAGAAGCATATACGTATAGAGATACACAACATATCCCTCCAAACTGCCAATATCCCAAACCCCTCCTTTAAAGTGCAGGCATTGTACTTCCCATTTCCAGGACTCAAGTCCGACTATATGAAAATAACCGGTTTCCCTGAATCCCTTCACACTCCAACAGATCGTCAGGTCCCAAGTATCATTCGTCTCCATTCACTCCTATCTAACACGCTCATGCACGCTTGCTGGAAGTCCAAGCCCCTCACCCACAAAACCTCCTTTACCCCCTCTTTCCAACCCTTTCGAGGACGACCCCTACCCCTCTTTCCTTCCCCTATAGATTTATATGCTTTCCATGTCATTCTACTTTGATCCATTCTCTCTAAATGACCAAACCACCTCAACAACCCCTCTTCTGCCCTCTGACTAATGCTTTTATTAACTCCACACCTTCTCCTAATTTCCACACTCCGAATTTTCTGCATAATATTTACACCACACATTGCCCTTAGACAGGACATCTCCACTGCCTCCAACCGTCTCCTCGCTGCTGCATTTACCACCCAAGCTTCACATCCATATAAGAGTGTTGGTACTACTATACTTTCATACATTCCCTTCTTTGCCTCCATAGATAACGTTTTTTGACTCCACATATACCTCAACGCACCACTCACCTTTTTTCCCTCATCAATTCTATGATTAACCTCATCCTTCATAAATCCATCCGCCGACACGTCAACTCCCAAGTATCTGAAAACATTCACTTCTTCCATACTCCTCCTCCCCAATTTGATATCCAATTTTTCTTTATCTAAATCATTTGATACCCTCATCACCTTACTCTTTTCTATGTTCACTTTCAACTTTCTACCTTTACACACATTCTCAAACTCATCCACTAACCTTTGCAATTTTTCTTTAGAATCTCCCATAAGCACAGTATCATCAGCAAAAAGTAACTGTGTCAATTCCCATTTTGAATTTGATTCCCCATAATTTAATCCCACCCCTCTCCCGAACACCCTAGCATTTACTTCTTTTACAACCCCATCTATAAATATATTAAACAACCATGGTGACATTACACATCCCTGTCTAAGACCTACTTTTACCGGGAAGTATTCTCCCTCTCTTCTACACACCCTAACCTGAGCCTCACTATCCTCATAAAAGCTCTTTACAGCATTTAGTAACTTACCACCTATTCCATATACTTGCAACATCTGCCACATTGCTCCTCTATCCACTCTATCATATGCCTTTTCTAAATCCATAAATGCAATAAAAACTTCCCTACCTTTATCTAGATACTGTTCACATATATGCTTCAATGTAAACACTTGATCTACACATCCCCTACCCACTCTGAAACCTCCTTGTTCGTCCGCAATTCTACATTCTGTCTTACCTCTAATTCTTTCAATTATAACCCTACCGTATACTTTTCCTGGTATACGCAGTAAACTCTTTCCTCTATAATTTTTACAATCTCTTTTGTCCCCTTTCCCTTTATATAAAGGGACTATACATGCTCTCCGCCAATCCCTAGGTACCTTCCCCTCTTTCATACATTTATTAAACAAAAGTACCAACCACTCCAACACTATATCCCCCCCTGCTTTTAACATTTCTGTCATGATCCCATCAGTTCCAGCTGCTTTACCCCCTTTCATTCTACATAATGCCTCACGTACCTCCACCACACTTACAGTCTGCTCTTCTTCACTCCTAAAAGATGGTATTAGACGCTTAGTATAATTTGTTTACTTTTGAACTTTGGTAAAAATCAAACATTTCTGCTACTTTGAGCTCAATTTCAAGGTACTTTTCATTGTAAATCCAGTCAAAGTCATCTCAATTTCTGTAATATGTCTTCCATTCTATACAATGAGACCAGGAAAACTAGAATACAACAAATAACAAAAAAAGGCACAATACCGTGACTGGAACGATACACAAATAACCCGCACATAAAAGAGAGAAGCTTACGGCGACGTTTCGGTCCGACTTGGACCATTGACAATAAATACCATACAAAAATATAGTGCAAAGTCGCTGTTTTAATCCAAAAACATGGTCAAAGTTTTTTTTTTTCTCATTACGCGCTGTGTGCTGCAGGATTTTTTTTATACTGTGCACACTGACCACATAGACCCATTCTTTCATATGTAGGCCTACCAGCTTTCTCTCACTAGATTTGAAGGCGCTAGAATTTATGAGTACTAGTACGTCATGGACCCTGGTGCGCAAGCCATACTAGTGTGGCCTAACCCTGAAAGGGTTAATGTCAGAAATGTTACAATTTTCAATCACAACAGTAGATCCCTAAGTAAATACTATGATGATCTCCTAGTACTCCATGATTCATTAAAGACAACCTTCTCCTCTATTATTCTTACTGAAACCTGACTTGAGCAAAACACAATAGACATCTACACACTACCAGGATAGACAGCAATCTGCAACTGCAGGCCGGACCAAATTGGGGGAGGTGTTGCCATCTATTACTCTAATGAATTATCATGTTGCAACACTACCTGCTACAGTGATGAATATGGTTCATTCATTCATGTTGATTCGCCGATACTTCCGCCCCGGGTCTTCTCCAGATGATGACCTGGCAGTGGCCCCCCAGGTGGGATGAATATGGTGGATATATATATTTGCAAATTTCTCTGAATAAAACCCTGAAGACTCCTACAACAATTGGTGCTATATACAGGATGCCTCGTACTAATATCCCAACTTTTGTGATAAACTAAAAACACTAATAACAAACAATCAAGTGGACAAGCACTACCTACTACTAGCTGTAATCTTCAACATTGACCTTGGACTAGCAGATGACCAACCAGTACCTGACACCATTAACCCTTAAACTGTCCAAACATACATCTACATTTGCACCGCTAGAGCTCCAAACGTAGATCTATGTTTTATTTTTCCTGCCTCCAAATTTGGCACGATTGCCCTGAGATGCCTGGTCAGTATAGAATGAGTCTTAACACTCAGTGTGTGCAGCATTAAAAAAATCAGGGATCGCTTAGTAACTTTTGGGAGCACCAGTTCAATTGAGCACCAGCTAGAGGAAATATTGTGGCAAACACCAGGTATTCACTAATGTCATGTTGTATCAACAATCCCCTTTTAAGATGAAAGTGATGGATGTGGCCACAAGTGGTCAGGGAAATATCAGAAACCTCAATAATAACCCATGTGTAACATTCGTGCAACATCCTTTCATTTTTTATTCCACTTGCTCTGTCTCTGTATCTGTCTATATCTCTGTCTATCTGTCTCTTTCTCTGTCTGAGAGACAAGACTGACAGACATACACAGGCAGACAGAAAGACAAAGACACACAGGCATACAGAAAGACAGACACACACAAGCAGACAAAGATACACACACACTGGCAGACAGAAAGACACACACAGGCAGAAAGACAGATAAGCAGAGCTAGACAGACAGATAGACAGAAAGACATACATGTTTGTGTTTAACAGTGAAAACAAATAAAGCCAGGGTTCCCTGCAGCAGTGCACTATCATAGTGTCACACCACTGCTTACCCTGTCAGCAGTTTAGCAACACTTGTCATAAATACCATGCTTCAAGAAGTTTCATATATACTCCAGCATGTCTAAAACATTGCCGAGGCCTACAAATACCTGTCGGTATGATTGTGACTATCTGAGTACTATTTCAGTACCTAATATTAGTGTCAGAACAAAGATTGGCTATGAAATCACAAGAACTATTATAAACTGTAATTATCAGAACATAAAAATTGTTTTACATGATGGTAGGATTGCTGGTGTCCATTTTTTCTGTCTCATAAACATGCAAGATTTCAGGTACATTTTGCTACTTCTACTTACACTTAGGTCACACTACACATACATGTACAAGCATATATACACACACCCCTCTGGGTTTTCTGCTATTTTCTTTCTAGTTCTTCTTGTTTATTTCCTCTTATCTCCATGGGGAAGTGGAACAGAATTCTTCCTTCCTCTTCATTCCAGCAGAAGGCCGTGCAGACCATCTAACTGACATTAGTACAAATCCCATAGATTTCAAAAAAGAAATGGATAACATACCCACTCGCTCAGCAGCTGGACCAGATTCATGGAATGCTCTATTTATAAAAGAAGTGCAAAGTACCACTAGAATAAGCCCTCAGTAGTCTTTCGAGAAAGAGACTAGATCTAGGTGAAATACCAATGACCTTAAATAGTGTAGACAGCTTCTTTGCATAAGGGAGGCAATAGAGCACTAGCTAAAAATACAGACCAGTAGCCCTAACATCTCACATCATAAAAATCTTCAAAAGAGTGATGAGACGGCAGATTACAAACTTTGTGAACAAGCACAACCGGCATAACACAAACCAGCATGGTTTTAGAGCAGGACAATCATGCCTGTCCAAGTTGCTGAACCACTGACAGAATTATGGAGACATTGGTAGATGACCAAAACACAGATGTGATTTATACAGATATTGCAGAGGCATTTGAGAAATGTGATCATGGAGTGAGAGTACACAAAATAAGGGCAAGGTAGGCAGATGGATTTTCAGATTCTTAACAAACAAAACACAAATAGTAGTAGTAGTAAACAGAGAAAAATCAGCATCAGCAAGGTAAAAAACTTAGTTCCCCAAGGCACTGTCCTGGCACCTCTGCCATATCTCATCCTCACAGAAGACATAGATAAAAACCACCTGTTACAGTTTTGTACTATCATTTACAGATGACACTAAAATAAGCATGAAAGTCACCACAGTAGAAGACACTCAAAAATTACATGGAGACATAAGTAGGGTTTTCCAGTGAGCAGTGGAGAACAACATAACGTTCAATGGTGAAGAGTTCCAGCTGCTTAGGTATGGAAAGAATTATGTCACCTAAAGTCAGTACCTGACCAACTGGGCTGTGGTTTGTATGTCAGCTTGTGTGCAGCCAGCAGTAACAGCCTGGCTGATCAGACCCTGATCCACCATGAGGCCTGGTCTCAGACCGGGCCACGGGGGCATTGACCCCCGAAACCCTCTCCAGGTAAAGTCCAGCTGACCTTTCTTTCAAAGAACATAATAAACAGAGATCACAACAGCCAGGAGGATGTTGGAGTGGGTATTAAGAACTTTCAAAACAAGGGAAATAATGCCAATGCTGACACTCTTCAACCGGCTAGTGCTCCCTCATTTGGAATATTGCTCAGTGCTGATGACCCCATTCAAAGCAGGAGAAATATCAGGGCTGGAACAAATACAGAGATCATTTATGGACACACAGAGCCAGTAAAGAACTTAAATTACTGAGAATGCCTTAAAGTCTTGAACATGTACTCACTGGAGCGGAGGAGAGAGAGATACATGATAATATATACCCGAAACGTCCTGCCAAGTGAGTGTAAAACGAAAGCCTGTAATTGTTTTACATGATGGTAGGATTGCTGGTGTCTTTTTTTCTGTCTCTTAATCATGCAAGATTTCAGGTACATCTTGCTACATCTACTTACACTTAGGTCACATTACACATACATGTACAAGCATATATATACACACCTCTCTGGGTTTTCTGCTATTTTTTTTCTAGTTCTTGTTCTTGTTTATTTCCTCTTATCTCCATGGGGAAGTGGAACAGAATTCTTCCTCCGTAAGCCATGCGTGTTGTAAGAGGCGACTAAAATGCCAGGGGCAAGGGGCTAGTAACCCCTTCTCTTGTATAAATTACTAAATCTAAAGAGAAACTTTCGTTTTTCTTTTTGGGCCACCCTGCCTTGGTGGGATATGGCCGGTTTGTTGAAAGAAAGAAAGAGATATACCTGAATGTACTCGAGGGTCTGGTCCCAAATTTGCACACTGCCATGACATACTGGGATGAGAGATAAGGGAGGAAGTGCAAAATCAACCCAGTGAGGAGCACTGTATTAACATTCGGGGTCCCAGACTATTCAACATCTTACAAGAAGATATCGGAAACACGGCTCAAGAGGAAACTGGACCAGTATCTTCAAGGTGCCACATCAAGCAGGCTGTGATGGATATGTGGGGAAGTGGGCCTCCAGCAGCAACAGCCTCGTTGATCAGGCAAGCACCTGAGAGTAGCCAGACTCTCGAAACTCATCAAAGGTGTACATAAACAAAAAATGACTTCTGTATAAGGTTCGCTACTATCCACAGTTTCGGGTATCCGTGACAGAGCTTGGAAGGTATACCCTGCAGATACGAGGGACTAATCTACTGGTATTTCTTATTTATACCTTTGATTCTCCCTTTCCCTCTTCTTATTATGTTTTCTACTCTTCCCTCTTCCTCTTGCTCCCTCTTCTCTTATGCCTCATTCATGCCTTTTACCATCCTCTCTTCCCAGGCTTTTCCCTTTCATAAAATTCCTCTTTGGAAATTTCTCTAGTCTCTCTCGCTGATCTCTCTCATTGCTTTCGTCACCTATCTACTTCTTGACCCTATGCATTCAACACGTACTTTCTGCTCAATCTTGACTGATTGTCACATCCCTAGTCTTCAAACTTAGGCCTTCAACACTTACCTTCTGTTCTACCTTGAGTGCAGCCTCCATAGACGATACGTCATGGCGTAATTTGGTCACGTGGGCCTCCATTGTAACGTTCTCTTTCTGCAACTCCGAGATCTCCGAGGCCAAGCCAATGTGTTCCTCGCCGTCTGTGTGGAAAGTTACCATGTTAGTGAGGCATAATGGGCATGTACATCTATATATTTATACAATGGAGACCATCGGTTAAGACATATGTATATGCTTTCCATTAGCACTTTCCGAAATAATTTTTTTTATTTGGAGAATGTGTGATTTTCAGCTAGAATGGCATAAATTTAGGCAAGCAAATGGCACACAGTTGGATCCTTTCCCTCTGCCTTGCAGACAGCCTATAGGCCTAGTCTCACTCTTTATTAGGTACAAAGAAAGCCACCAACATGCCAGGGCATTTCAGGCAGACTAATCCTAATGTTTACTGACTACAGTGGACCCTCGTTTTTTGGCCGTAATCCGTTCCAGAAAGTCGGCCTAAATTCGAAACAGCCTAAATTCAAAGAAATATTTCCAATAAGAATTAATGTAAATACAATTAATCCATTCCAGACACCCAAAAATATTCACAAATAATACATATTTTAAAGATTAATTATAGTTTTACATAGACAAAACAAAGAGAGCTAAATAAAATTAATAAATAAACATTTAAATCACTATTACATACCATTATTGAAGACTCTCGTTGGCTTATGGAGAGAGGGAGGACTGATTATTTTTTGGAAGGGGAATCCCCTTCCATAAGGACTTCAGGTAACAAAGCCCTCTCTGGGATTACTTCCCTCCCTGCCTGCTACACTCCCTGCATGCCTGCTGCACTCCCTGCCTCCCTTCCACAGTCTCTGTTTCCCTGCTAAACTCCCTGCCTCCCTGCTACACTCTCTCCCTCCATGCTACACTCCCTGCCTGCCTGCTACACTCCTTGTTTCTCTGCTACACTCCCTGCCTGCCTGCCAACTACACTCCCTGCCTCCCTTCCACACTCCCTGTTTCCCTGCTACACTCCCTGCTAAACTCCCTGCCCATGGTGACTTATTTCACAGTCGCACTTAAACAAGCCACATCAGCTTCCTTGATTTGTTCTTTCTTTGCCAGGATAGAAGTGATTGTTGATTTGTTTTAGCCATATATCCCATGGTGACTTATTTCACAGTCGCGCTTAATAAAAAAACACCAAAAACAATGGATTTTAAGGAAATGTTTGGATGAATGTGTGGAGTATATGCTCACTCGCCGATAGACAAAGGGAGACTGACTCACCTATGCACAGCGTCCCGGGCTGATGCGTCTAATATGGCCAATATACGAGGCAACGGCCGAAATACAGAGCAAAATATCCCCCCCAAAAAAACTGGCCTAAATACGAATCGGCCAATAAATGCAGTGGCCGAAAAAAGAGGTTCCACCGTACTCAAGACTAGATAGTTAAAGAATGGCAAATTTTAATTATACAATATTTTCATTGGTGGATGAATTTGGTAGGGTGTGCAAAAGAAGAAAATTAAAAGTGAATACAGGAAAGAGTAAGGTTATGAGGATAACAAAAAGATTAGGTGATGAAAGATTGGATATCAGATTGGAGGGAGAGAGTATGGAGGAGGTGAATGTATTCAGATATTTGGGAGTGGACGTGTCAGCGGATGGGTCTATGAAAGATGAGGTGAATCATAGAATTGATGAAGGGAAAAGGGTGAGTGGTGCACTTAGGAGTCTGTGGAGATAAAGAACTTTGTCCTTGGAGGCAAAGAGGGGAATGTATGAGAGTATAGTTTTACCAACTCTCTTATATGGGTGTGAAGCATGGGTGATGAATGTTGCAGCGAGGAGAAGGCTGGAGTCAGTGGAGATGTCATGTCTGAGGGCAATGTGTGGTGTGAATATAATGCAGAGAATTCGTAGTTTGGAAGTTAGGAGGAGGTGCGGGATTACCAAAACTGTTGTCCAGAGGGCTGAGGAAGGGTTGTTGAGGTGGTTCGGACATGTAGAGAGAATGGAGCGAAACAGAATGACTTCAAGAGTGTATCAGTCTGTAGAGGAAGGAAGGCGGGGTAGGGGTCGGCCTAGGAAAGGTTGGAGGGAGGGGTAAAGGAGGTTTTGTGTGCGAAGGGCTTGGACTTCCAGCAGGCATGCATGAGCGTGTTTGATAGGAGTGAATGGAGACAAATGGTTTTTAATACCTGATGTGCTGTTGGAGTGTGAGCAAAGTAACATTTATGAAGGGGTTCAGGGAAACCGGCAGGCCGGACTTGAGTCCTGGAGATGGGAAGTACAGTGCCTGCACTCTGAAGGAGGGGTGTTAATGTTGCAGTTTAAAAACTGTAGTGTAAAGCACCCTTCTGGCATGACAGTGATGGAGTGAATGATGTGAAAGTTTTTCATTTTCGGGCCACCCTGCCTGGGTGGGAATCGGCCAGTGTGATAATAAAATAAATAAATAATTTTCATTATTACAAAAGTGAGGTAGCTAATGGTTTACAGTAATAAAATATATAGTTGTGAAGTAGCATATCAGAAAAATGATCAGTATTACAATTTAGCACAAATAACAAAAATACAATAGTACTACAATTATAAGTGTGTGTTAGTGTTTAGTTAATTAAGCTGTTGTAAACTTTTTCAGGAGTTTTTGAGTTGCTTCAAGCTGGCTATATGTGATTTAGCATAGTGTTGGCATGGTTAATTTTTGGATATGAGATGATTTTTTAACCCTTTCAGGGTTCCTGACGTACTAGTACGGCTTACGCACCAGGGTTTTTGACGTACTAGTATGCCTAAATTCTAGTGCCCTCAAATCAAGTGAGAGAAAGCTGGTAGGCCTACATATGAAAGAATGGGTCTATGTGGTCAGTGTGCGCAGTATAAAAAAAATCCTGCGGCACACAGAGCGTAATGAGAAAAAAAAAAACTTTGACAGTGTTTTTGGTTTAAAACAGTGACTTTGCACTGTATTTTCATATGGTATTTATGATGGTATTCTAGTTTTCTTGGTCTCATTTTATAGAATGGAAGACATATTACAGAAATTGAGATGATTTTGATTGGTTTTACAATGAAAAGTACCTTGAAATTGAGCTCAAGCTACACGTCCAATACACATCAACTGGTGAGTCTAATATTCTTTCACAAGTGCATTGATATTATTTATACCATTTCTACACTAATGCAGTAGTCTGCATAACAGTAAATCTTCTATTTTTTGTGAGATTAAAAATTCAAAGTGGAAAGCAAAAGAATGTAAGAGGGGCCTGGGGATGTGACTAATGAACAGAGAAAATGTTATTTTAGTGCCAGGAATGTCTTTCTTATTTATTCTGGACCCTATTTGGAAATTGGCATCTTTTGAAATTTGTGTGAAATTGGCAAAATTGGTAAATTCTGACCACTGTATTGGATAGTTGAAATCGGTAAATGGGTGGTTTCTTGTACGCATTCGATAGAAAAAAATGGAGTTCTAGCGAAATAGTTATGATTTTTGTCGACTAGTACACTGGAATTGGCCGAAAATAGGGCTCAAAGTGGGCAAAATCATTGATGCGTAAACATCGTCGAGATTGCTAACTTCGCGAGAGCATAATTCTGTAAGTTTTCCATCAAATTTCATACTTTTGGTGTCATTATGATCGGGAAAAGATTCTCTAACTTTTCGTAAGAAAAAATATTTTTTTTTTTTTTAAATTTGTCGACCCTGAGAACAAGTCTGGGATAGGGCCTGTCGACCCTGAAAGGGTTAAGTATAGCCCTAAAATGATTTCCAGGCAAGGGACATGTTGCTGGTTCAGGCAATGAATTCCAGACCCTTGGGCCCTTTATGTGCACAGCATTTTTGCACCGGGTGAGATGGACACAAGGGATGTCGAAGAGTGTTTTGTGCCTTGTATTATACCTCTGTGTTCTGTTGTAGTTGTCAAGGAGTACTTTGAAAGGAGGATTTATATCAGAGTACTATAATGTTCTGTATACATAGTAAGCACAATAATATGATTGAATATTTTGTTTATTAAATAAGTTCAAGCTCTTAAAGAGCAGTACAGTAGTGTGCGTTGCCTGGTGCAGGAATTGGTAACCAACCAAACAGCAGCTTTTTGTTGGGTTATTAATAGTTTAAGGTGACTGGCCGTGGTTGAACCCCAAACACAAATACTATAGGTGAGGTAGGTAAACATCAGAGAGTGGTATCGTGCAAGAAGTGCCATTTGGGGTACATAGTACCATATCTTGGGAAGGATGCCTACTGTTTTGGACACTTTCTTGGATATATGCTGGATGTGGGTCTGAAATTTAAGATTACAGTTAAGGTGAAGACCTAGAAATTTGCCCTCAGTGTGTCTTTTAATGGGTGAACCATTTATTGGTATGTTTAGCTTGATATTTAAAGCTCTGTTTCCAAACAGCATGAAGTAGGTTTAGTTAATATTGAGAGCGAGTTTCTTGGTTATAATCCAAGATATTTTTAGTAGCTCGTCGTTTACAGTCTCTCTAAGCATAGCCGGGTTCAAGTGGGAGAAGACATAAGTAGTGTCACCTGTGAATAAAACTGGTATAAGAAGCTTAGATGCACTGGGAAGGTCACTGATATAAATGACAGGGTAGTGGGCCAAAGACACTACCCTGTGGGACACCAGCAACTAGAGGCTGAGCAGTGGAGGTCATTTGTGTGTACAAACTGGTGTCTATTGCTAAGATAAGATTTTAGGTAATTGAGGGAATGTCCTCTTACCCCATAATGTTCAAACTTTAGTTGCAAGAGATTGTGGTCTGCTGTACCAAATACTTTCCATAGGTCTATGAAAAGCCCCAGGGGATATTAATTTTTTTTTCGAGTGCTGTATATAGTAGTTCGAGCATTTATATAATTAATTGCATTATTCATACTCCTAGGTAGTAGGTTGGTAGACAGCAACTGCCCAGGGAGGTACTACCATCCTGCCAAGTGAGTGTAAAACAGAAACCTGTAATTGTTTTACATGATGGTAGGATTGCTGGTGTCTTTTTTCTGTCTCATAAACATGCAAGATTTCAGGTACGTCTTGCTACTTCTACTTACACTTAGGTCACACTACACATACATGTACAAGCATATATATATATATACACACCCCTCTGGGTTTTCTTC